TTTTGGGGTTGCTGATGAGGAAAATGAGATGCTTCGCCTTCCTAGGAGATCGTGCCAAATGGCATCTTAGGGGATCTCCCCCTCAGAAGGTACAAGCTCAGCACTTTGTAAATAATTCTGAAAATCCTGACCTCACAGCCTGTTTACATGCTCTTGACAGTGCAACACTGCTCTCCCAGTTCAAAGTACTCTGTGATGTGGAGGTGAGTTCCTCAGCATCCACATGCACCCTTGTCCATTGCTTTTGTTTGCAATGAGCAACCAAGTTCTGTCCTTGCTGGCAGTGGTGAAAATATAATCACTGCTTGCTAGCACTTGTTCTCTTTCAATTCTAGGGGATCAGAAAACTTTCTTTACCAAGAATTAAGCATGAAATTTTTTTGTTTGTATTATTTTTCTTCTGTGCATGCACAGTTTTCTGTGAATGCATGATATTCTGTGCATTCATACTTTTCTGCAAGCATTTAATAAACACAGGTGATTTCAAATGCTTCCTGTAGTGCTTTCTGTATGTAATTTCCTGTGGGTCTTGAATTGCTCATTAAAATCATATTTGGGCTGTATTTTGTTGGCTTCTTATAATCTAATAAAATATGAATCCCTTTAGCTCATAGGAATTATTTTGTATCCTGACACCCAAGATGCTGGCTCACAACTACCTGATTTTATAGGTGCTTTCCCACCTGATAAGTGCATTCTCTGTTTTGAAGGTCACGTATTGCCTGAAACACAAACCCCCTGTGCCCCAGAGAGGTGGTGGCTCAGTAGCTTGCCAGCCCAAATTTAATGGCTTAGCATCTCCAAGGGGGCTGGGGTCAGGACATGGGTAGGAGTAAAACCAAGCACAGGCTTGAAAAATTGATAAATCGTGCCAAATAATTTCTGAAATCCAATATATACCCTCCTGCCTTGTTGGTCATTGTAGATTATTTCTTCACTGATCGTTTTTTATAATCTGAACAGGGTGGTTTGCCAAAATCCTGCATCAGATGCTTCCTCCAAGAAAGATTGTGTCAAGAGGTGGGCTCACATGATGGGAGATGCAGAAGAGAGTTCATTGGTTACAAATCCGACAGAACTAACAGATTATCCAAAAAAATAAGTGTCAATATTCGTGAGGAGACCTGTGCTTTCTAAATGTTTTAAATGTTATTGTTCCAAATGTTTAAACTGAAAAGAAAACAAAAAAGGAGTAATTTCTTGATTTGGTTTTGTGTTTATTTCTTTGTTTGTTTTTCTAATGCAAAGTGATGGGTTTCAGATGCACTTGCAATTTTATTTCCTTTATTGAAATGTATGCCATAAGGGAGGGATGTTTAGCATACCACAATTTGGCACTTTATTGAACTAAAGGCAGCAAATCTTTCCCTGAGCAGAAAACCACACATTTTTCTGCAACAGCAGAAAACCTTTTAATTTTGTTTGCAACAGCAGGTGATGTTTTAATCCCATTCTCAGGGCAGTAAAACAACTTTGCAGCACTAGAGCTGCAGAAGGGCAAAAAAGCATTTTTTGCTTGGCTTTCCTCCTCTTGGAGAATTAGTCCATATTTTGTATTCATCAGTCATCAGAGGTTTTCTTCGAGCCTCATGATCTGAACCTGCTAAGTAAGGCAAATCCAGATTAGAGCCTCTCGCAACAGAAATACAGGAGAGATCAAGAGGGAAGAGGTGGGAGGAAGAAACAGGCAGGAGGGGAATACCAAATCACCACACTCTTACTTCTTACTGTATTTTCCAATTCAGAATTTCCACAGAAGTTCCAAAAAGGGTAAAATTTGACATTTCTGCAAGAAAGGCAATTGGATATATCTCTTCTCCTTGGGCTTGTTTCTCAGATCAAAACCAGCTGAGTAAGTAGGGAGTGGACATGCTGGAAGGAAACACACAGTATTGTTTTAGCTTTAAGTGGTCCTTATTTTGAGTGACAGCTTGAAGGTCCCTCAGTTGAGGGTGCCTGGGAGGTAACTCCAATTAAGCCAGTTTCAAGCTGAAGAGTCAAATGTAAACATTGTTTTATTTGGTTGATCTGAGCACTTTTCTTTCCTTTAGGCTTCTCCTGCCTTGTGTAGCATCAGAGGAGTTTTAATCCTCCAGACAGCTCTGTATGAAATATTTACCCTTTTTTGTGCTGAAATAGCAGAAAACCTTCTTGGCTTACACTGTTTTGCTCAGAGACAGCTCTGGCTTCTTGAGATGGGACCTCTCATTGTGCTGAGCTCCCTGAATAGTCCTGGCTGCAAGGATGCCTATGAATTATTGTTCTTATTGTTATATTTAACACAAGCCCAGGCACTGACCTCTCCCTCCTGGGTTATATAGGTCCCTGAGGCAGCAAGGGTATTTTCCAGTCTGGGAGATAAAACTGGCCTTGAAGGAAGCCAATTATGCACAGCCAACACTCTCCTCTGACTCCTCCTCTCCAGCACTGTGGTCTTTCTTCACCTCTGGATCTCTCTGACCACCCCAACAACTTCCAGACAACTCCAGCATCCTCCTTCCCATGCTTCCCTGAGATTTTTTCCTAACCACCCCTTTTCTGCCTTTTTTCTCTTTCAGAATGGTATCACAAGCCAGGAAGGTGATGGGCCAGCCCACCTCTCAAGTAGGTGTGTCTCTGGCACAAGGGGCATCACTTTGACAGCCCCAAAAGGGTAAGACCAAGGCATTTGTGGACAATTGGGAACACACCTTCTAACATAGCTTCTCAGTAGGGTAGAAGTCTCTCCTACTGACCAAACCCCTCTTGTCAGTACCAATATCTGCCATGCTTGTCTGTGACCTTGCATCCTCCCCTCTCCATTTCCTACAACCCCAAAATATCACCACATCTCCACAAATCCTCTCCCTCTCCTCACTGCTGATTTCCACCCCAACAGCAACACCTTCGCTCTTTTTCCCCTTGCACTGAGATCTCAGCTCCTCATCCTCACCTCTGGAGACCTCCCCCATCCCCACAGCACACCATGCTGTGATTCTGGAGACATCCCCACTGCTCCCCTCTGGCACTGATCTCCACTGGGATGTTTCCATAAGGTCACGGCAACATTCCTGAGATCTCTGGGTGGATGGTCATGTAAAAGGAAAGGCAGAAGAAAGGATAGAGGAAAAAAACTTGGAGCTAGGGTAAAGCTTGGATGGTGATGAACTCCAAGAGAAAAGGGTGGGAGATACATTTCTTTTTGTTTCTCGTGCAGAAAATCTTCCTCTTTCTTGGGCACCTCTGTCCTTAACTAAGAACAAAAAAAGAAAAATAGAAATCATAGCATGTGACCTGTTTTATTGGACTGGATTAAGTGTGGGATTACAGGAGTGTTTAGAATGTTGAGCAGGGCTCCATTAAATTCTTCCTTGCTGCTGCTTTTTTTCTGGGAATGGGATTTGCAGGGGGTTATTCAGATTAAGAATGCGGTGGAATCCTTGCAGCCTTGGTCAGGACAGGAGACAGGAAAAGGAAATAAACCCAAATGATGACCTGGTATTGTCAGTTGAGACAGAGTTTTCAATTTTTTAACAAGTTTTTCTTGTTAAATGCCCTTCTTGCAGTTTCAAGAACAAAAATGAAGTGCATGGGATCTGCAGGATTTTTAGTGGCTCCTCACAAGTGGATGTGAGGAAGAGAAAGAAATGAAGGGAGGGAGAAAGAATAAAATTAAAGTATCAGGGCTCTGTAAGGGTGAACTGAGCAGATGGTTTCCTGCCACCTGAAACTTCCACTCTGCAAAATCCCATTAAGTGCAAAGTTTAATGAAGTTCTTGGATATCAAAAAGAAGCAGCTATTTAGAGCCTTGATCACCTGCCAAATGTGCCTCCCCCCAAACCTGAATGGATATTTCTGGCCCAAATCACATTTTCCTTCCCCATGTCATGCTCCTCCTTCCTAAGAAAAAGGTCTCATTTGTGAAACAAAGTGCACAGTGACCCTGCTACCATAGCTGCTGACTGGTCACGTTGCTGTGCAGGGATATCTGGGATTAAACTAACCAAACTGGAAGCAGGACTCCTAGAGCCCAGGTATGGTGAACCCTTTGGATGAGTCCCTAGACATTACAAATTTATTTCTAATTTCTATTTCTCAACTAATTATTAAAGAAAATATTCAGAGCAGGCAGCAAGCAGCTGAGGGGCCGCTGCAGTGCCAGGTGTAGCTGGAGCTCTGGTGGCAAGGGCTGGAGGCAAGAGGCAACTGCAGACCCTTTGCAGAACAAAAGGGCACAGGGACCTGTGGCACAGCCAGGTGAATGGGCTTGCTGAGACACAGCAGGAGCTGAGCACTCAGCAAGAAGAGCCCAGACTTTCCCATACACTCAGATAATAAGGGCACGTTAGCCAAGGGTTTATTTTCTTGGAGATTCCTTGTCCCTTCTGGAGGCTCTCACCCCAAGCTGTTATTTTGGTTTTGTATGATTAAATTATTTGAAGGATCATTTGTATGATTAAATATTTTGAAGGATCTGAGACTGTGCTATGGGACACTAGGGGTTGAGCCAGTAAGGAAGCCCAGTCTGACTGAGTGTGGAGTGTGGAGCTGCTAAGGCTTAATCCCAGCTCTGGTGGGGTGAGTGTGACTGCCAGAGTGGCTCCTGTTTTCTTTATAATAATTAGAAATATTTTGTAGTTCCAGTACATGTTTCTAATGGAATTTATTTGATTACTTTTGTGTGAGTGGGCTATGGCATCATGCTGCTGAGGGTGCTTGGCATCATGCTCGACCATTCTGATAAACTCTGCTTTAGGTGGTGAGAAAAGAGCCCAAAGCAATTAAAAACATGAAGAGCACCAAACAATGTTCATTTATTGATCTAGATGAATTATATTTTTAAAAACATATGCCTTCATCAAAAATTATAGCTCATTGTCCCATTTCGAAATAAAAATAATGCAAAGGAAATAATTTCAAAAATTCAGAACTTCCTGGAAATATCTGTATAAACTGGTATCCATGCCAGACTGGAAGTGTTATTTTTGTGCTGAGGAGTTTCAATTGAGCTGACCACAGATGGGATGTTTTTCTTCTCTTTTTTATCTTGTATGTGTTCTACATGGAGAAAAAAAAGAAAAACTGGCTCTACACCCATGCATTACTGGGAAAATCAAGTTGTTTTCCCTATGCTATACAGACTATGTGTTAAGTGTGACTATGTTGAGGTTGTGAAGTGGTTCCAGTGAAGGAGAAAACTTGGAGCTTGATCTCCATGGTTTCACCTCGCTTAGGCACTCTATATAAATTCCAGGTGGCTGTCTTCTGGGACATTGTATTTAGCTTTGTGCTTCTCAAAGAGCTCGGACAACGCATTTAGGTATTTTTGATGGATTTCATCAACTTCTTCATCAGAGGGTCTGTGCTTCTTCTGCACTGGAATTGGCTTCCCAACTGGAAAAGAAGTACAGGTGTTAGGAGGAGCCAGTGTCAGGTGTCTCTGAACACTTTGCTCACCCTAGCACAGAGCTGAGGTCAGCCTATCCTGGATGGACAGGTCAGCAGGACCAGTTATTTCCTGGAGCCTGGGAGATAGCACAACCAAGGAGGGATTGTGGCTCAGATCCTGACCAAGCTCTTTGTCTCCAGGATCACACTGGTCCTTGCCTCAGTTTATTCATCTGCAAAGCTGGCTAATGTCAAAGAACCTCTGTGTAGCCTTTTGAAGTAAGAAGTGCTGTATCCCAATGCAGTCCCAAGAGCTGCTTCTCAGCTCTCAGATGTGCTGCAGATAAACATAATATAAAGACAGGATAATATTTGGGTTGGGTTTTCCAAGTTGTTTCCACATGTGCCTGGGAATCTGCATTGCAAATGGGGAAAGTGAGAAACAGGGGAGCCCCACACTATTTAAATACACTTGCATTGAAGGTGCTTCCACTTAGCTCAGATTAAAGATTCTGTGAAATATCTGATTTTTATTAGGAATCCAGTACTTACTTATCTTTTAAAAATCACATTTTATTCAACAGAAAATCTAGTTATTTTGATTCCTGTCTTTAGAAGAGCCTTTCCATCTCCCAGAGCTACCAGGAGCAGGAGACAGAGAAGATCCACGAGGTACTTCTTTTGCTCTGGTCTCTTACTCAAATTGTTTTTGTCAAGTGACAGAGGGTTTCAACATGTTATAAGGCTATTCTTCATCCAATTAGTGAAGAGCCCATGTGATACTATACAGCTTATAAAACCATTGAGACAATCCAAACAAGTTGTAATACAATTAGAAGTAATTGCTTGTTGTCAAACTTAATCAGTGGTATAAGCTCTAACCATTCCAAACAACATCTTAAATTAAATTCATTCACAGAGCATCAAGCCACACTGGTGGACCAAGCACGGAGATTTTGGAAAACTTATTCAAAACCAAAGATTTTCTTGAAATTTGGTCTCCCGTGGACATGGTCTCTGGTCAAAATTGTTCATCTTCCTCACAGGCAAATAGGTTTGGATTTGCACATGTGTCTGCACAGGACAGTGAGCAAAGCTGCAAACTGCTTGAGTGTTCGGAGAATCACAGAATGGTTTGGCTTGGGAGTGACATAAAGATCATGTCATTCCATCCCCCTAGCTTGAATAGAGACACTCTCCACTAGACTAGGTTGCTCTAGCCCTGTCCCAGCTGCCATTGAATATTTCCAGAGAAGAGGGGCAGCCACAGCTTCTCTGGGCAACCTGTGCCAGGGCCTCACAGCCAAGCATTTCTTCCCAATATCCATCTAACCCTGCTATCCTGTTACTCCATGACCTTTTCCAAAATCCCCCTTCAAATTCCCTTCAAATTTGCCCTTCAAATTCCCTCTTTCTTGGAGGACCTTTAGGCACTGGCAGGGGCTCTAAAGTCTCCCCAGAGCCTTCTCTTCTCCAGGCTGAATGTCCCCAGCTCTCCCAGCCTGTCTCCCAGATGCTCCAAAGGCTTGGAGCTTTCCAGCAGCTCCCCATCTTTCTGATGTTCGTGCCCTAGAGCTGGAGGCAGCACTGCATGAGGGGGTCTCACCTGACTGGGGAAGAGGAGCAGAATCCTCTCCCTTGACCTGCTGGTCCTACTTGTGTTTGTAAAACTGCCTTGGAAGATGTTTAATGCAACCTTATTGCAGTGTTTTTTGTCACCACATTGTGGTGCTGGGGTTGTCTGCATCTCACAGGAGCGATGAGCTTGGCCACATTTGCTCTGGGGCTTTTCACAGCACAGCCCAGATGGGCTGGGATCTGTCATGACATCAAACCAGATTGCCAAAACAGTGAGACACACGAACAGTTTGGAATGCTGCTTTGCAGCACATTTCTAGCCTACCACTGCTTGTGCTCTCTGGCATGAGGCTTCAGCCTGGCAGAAGGATGACACAACCCAGGGACTGTCCCTGATTCCCCAGTTTGGCCAGCCTGAGTGTGTCTGGCATCATGTCAGAGTTCTGTGGACTGACTCACCCACAGTGCAGATGGGCCGTCGGTAGGGTATCACCCCAAAGCTGTACTGGAAGATGCCTCGTGCATGGAAGAGGGGAAGGGAGATGCCCATGATCTGCTGGAGGCAATGCTGAATCTTCCTCAGCCAGGAGCCCTTGGGATTCTTCACCTGATCAAAGACATCATTCTCCCCAAAGGAAAAGGCAGGGACCAGGGGCGTGCTGCAGGGAATCAAAACCAATAGGGTGTCATGATTAGCAAACCCCATTCCAAAACCCCTTAATTCCTCCCCAAAACAGAACCACCCCATTAACCAGCTGCAGAGCTGAGCACCCCTCCCTCAGCACCCCTGGAGGCCACCCCCTGCATCACCCATGCTGGATGGCCAGGCGCACAAATCCCTTCCTGTTCTTCAGCAGCAAGGTGTAGGATCCTGGATGGGCATCCAGGGCCTCCTGTGCCCCACCAACAATGATGACCAGCAAGTTCCCACCCTCTGGCTTCTGCAGCACGTAGGATGCACTCTCCTTGTCAGAGGGGATGAGGCCTGGAGAGCAGAGAGAAATTAAAAGTAAAACCCACCTGTCTGTGGTTTGCTCGGCACTTTTTCCCCCCAAAATCCGTCTCTGGAGAGGTGCTAAAAACTTTATTTTCAGAGCTGAAAACCTCAGGTCAACTCCCTTAAAAGGTGCTAGATTTGCACACAGCTCTGCTGGGTGAGTACACAATTATCTATCTGCTTTCTGGCTCAGAACTGAGGGAAAAATTTAAGAAAAAAAATAAACACAAAACTACCTGCACTTGAGTACTAGAAAAAAATCTGTTTCAATTTGTTTTCAAGTGAGACTGTGTCCAATTCTGAATAATTCTGACATCAGAGAAACATTTGCTTTAGGTCAAAACACACATATGTTTCAGTGGATGGTACTAATTGAAAATGGAATTTGATTAAGGATTTGGTCCTCTGGTGTTGTTTACTCGAATAAGATAGACATCTTTAATTCAGAAATGACAAATCAACATTGTTTTAACAATATTTTTTAGCTTAAAAAAATCCTTTTTTCAGGGGCTGAAATAATTTGCACATTAAAACCTCATTACAAAATGGATTCAATTGACCTGAAAATTAGTTATGCACCCAACTCTGACATTACAGTGACTAAACCTTCCTTCACTTGGGTCATAAGTGTCTCATATATCTCACTGTTTGGATTTCTTCCTCTCCATGTAAATACTCTGGCAGCAGGAGCCAGAGTTTATGTGGAAAACAGGGTAATGGATGCCCTGGGGTACATCAGATAACTGGATACCTATGTTTAGCCTACTGAATTCTGCCCACATTCAGCTGGAGAAGAGACCATTGCCAAGCCCACTGCTGAGAGATGGAGGTCATCCTGACGGTGTCCAAAAATCTCTCAAAACTCCCTTTCACCTCTCTCAGTTTATTTTTTACCTGTCCCTTTTCCTATTCCTTTTCACTACATCTTCCCCACTGCCACATTCCATTGCAGCAGGATGAGCTACTATTTTCATCCTCTGTCCCTGGATGCTGCTTCCAGGGAAGCAGCAGATGCTTCAGAAAAAGCATCTTTTTCCTCACAATTTCAAGCCTGAATATAATTTTTATGGAAAGAAATACAGGAACATCCTGGCCTGCAGCTCTCAGCATTTCTGTTCACTATTTGCTCTGCATTTTGCTGTTACACAGCACCTGCACAGTGATGCCCTGAGCACAGAGACCATTTATGGAGTTGAACAACAGAGATAACAGCAAGCAGGGCAATTTTTAACTTCAGAGGTTTTGGGTTGCCATCTTAAACAGCTGTGTCCATGAATGGGATCCAATTGGCCCCAGATGAGGGAAAACAGACCCTTGACTCCTCTTCCCCATGCATTTTCACTCTATGTTCCTCAAACATACCACTGCTTGCCAGAGGCCCTTGCTCCTTACCTCCACTCATCACATAGTCCCTGAAGAACGGGAAGCGAAACCACAGGGAAAGCATCATCAGGTGAGGAGTGATGCCTGGGAAGAGTATGGAAAAGCCAGATGCCTCTGTGCAGAAATTGATAAAGGCTCCAGTTGCCAGGACTCCGTGGGGATGAAATCCCACCAGGTAGTTCTGCCGAGGGTCCAGCTCTGCTGTCTTCACCAACTAGGCACAGAGATGAAGCCAAAAAGCAGTCAGAGTTAATGCTGCAACCTCAGCAGGGTGGAACACGGGCTATGAAGATAAGGTATTCCTGGAGGGGAGTGTCTTGCACCCACCAGGCCTTTCTATTGAAAAAGGTTAACTGGAACAACTCCCCCATTTTTCACTGAGATGTATTTCATTGACTGTATTTCCATCTCCTCCTACCCATTGGCCTAAAATGACTTTTCTAATGGCACAGTTCATTATGTTGCCTTGAACTGGTCTAGGTGCTACTGGGAACCAATTTTGTTTAAAATGTCCTCCAATAAATTTTCTGATATTGGGGGGAAATGAGAAAAGGGTGATTTCTTCCACACAGTACCTCTTGATCCACCAGATAACAGAGAAACAACCAGAACAACAGAGTGAGTACATAATCACTCTGGTAGACCTACTACACAACACAATCATGTGTCCCACACAACAACTTGGTATGGATCAAAGGTTTATCCTGTCCTGAAGCATGTGCCAGGTGATTCCAGGATGTTTTCAGATAGGGTAAACTGAAATCTAATTCTAAAGACATCTAACAGAGAAGCTGATGGTTTCCTTGCCACTGGGGAAAGCCTGAAGGATGCCAGATGTTTGTGCCTGTGTTGGGTGCCCAGATCCATCAAAGAGCAGTGGATGTCTGCCCAAGGCTGCTGCATCTTCGGCGGGAGGGAACGGAGAATGCCCATGCCCAGCATTTTAGGGATGGGCAGCATGGATTGCAGACACAGTCCAGCTCATGGCCAGCCCTTGAGGGCTGACTAAGCAGCTTGTTAAAATCCTCAGCCAACCTGAAAGTGATATTCAAGCCTGGTATATGCTGCATGAGAGAAAGGGTACCACAGAACAAGAGTGGATGGTTAAAGGGAGATAAGGGACAATGGGATTTGATCTCCATTGCACTTGTTATGGACTGCACAGGGGAGAGGAGGTGGTGTGAAACCCACCCTCCAACTCTAGCACCAAGAAAACCTTGATGCCAACATCAGCCAGCATGTGCATAGCCCAGGCAGAAGTAGGCAAAACTGAATGCTGAAATCTCTGCACCATTTCTGTGGATGCTGAGGACACTCACAGCAGCAGGGAAGGATGAATCTTTCCAAGATTAGTCATCACATCATTTCGCTACTGAAAGGGTGGTCAGACATTGAAATGAGGTGACTGGGGAAGTGGTGGGACCACAGTCCCTGAAATTGTTCAAAAATATGTAGATGTGGCACTTGGGGACATGATTAAGTGGCATTTGTGCTCACAGCAGCAGGGAAGGATAATCTTTCCAAGGTTAGTCATCACATCATTTCGTTACTGAAAGGGTGGTCAGACATTGAAATGAGGTGACTGGGGAAGTGGTGGGACCACAGTCCCTGAAATTGTTCAAAAATATGTAGATGTGGCACTTGGGGACGTGATTAAGTGACATTTGCAATTGTGCTGGGGCACAGTTGGACTCAATGGTCTTAGAGGGCTTTTCCAACCTGAACAATTCTGTGATTATAACAGAGCCACCATGCCTTTCTAGACAACTCAAAGGCATTTGTGCTCAAGAACAACCAAAGCCCTAGGCATTTAAGTGCCACCCCTCCAAGTACCCTGATTCCATCTGCACTCAGGGTGCAGTTAATGGTGCCTGTGTTTTCCTAGAAGCTGCTAGAACTGCAGGTTAATAATGAGAGTATATTTTACTTTCTTTCATCATGACTCATTTTCCGCCTGTCTGAAAGCGCTGTTGACTGTACATGTGCCCATTCAAGCTGCTCCTAATGAGGGGAATGGACAAACCAAGTCCCACTACTGCCCAGGTGCAGAGGTCTCTAGGCAGGCAGAGAGACAGATGGCTGAGTCACTAAGTGCCCAAGGCCTCCGCCACTGCCACCGTTTGCTCTTTTTTGAGTAATCTCAGCTTGCATCAATGGTTCCTGCATTCATCTTCAGCTTCCAAACAACGTTTCATCTCCAAGTGATTTATAAGCAGGGAGACAAGAAGGGGGAAGGGTGACGCAAGAGGGTAGCCACTGAGTGGGCAAATTGCCTTGATGGGAGAGTTTGCCTTGTGCTAAGACACCATACATCTGTAAAAACACTCCTTAAGAAACATCCAGCTGCTGTCTTGGTGCTCATCCCAATGAAAGAGGAGGGAGGACAGAAAGGAAAGAACAAAGGATTGTGCTTGGAGTGGTAAGAAAAGGGAGAATGGTTTTAAACTAAGACAGGGATTATTAAAACTAGCTATGAGGAAGAAATTTTTTATGATAAGAATAGTGAGGCCCTGGCACAGGTTGCCCAGAGAAGCTGTGGCTTCCCCATTCTTGGAGGTGTTCAGACCAGGCTGGATGGGGCTTAGAGCAACTTGGTCTAGTGGAAGTGTCCTTGTAAAACTGATCCAACAAGGATCAGTTTTAAGGCCCCTTCCAACCCAAACCATTTTGTGATTCTGTGGTAAGATACAGTCCTTGGCAACTGGCTCTGGGTGGCCCTGCTTGAGCGGTGGGTTGGGCATGTTGACCTCTACAGTTCTCTTCCAATATCACCCAGTATTTGAATCTGTGATTTTTGACACCCTGGTCTAAGCCATGGGCAGCTGGAAGGTAGCAGTTGAGTCCCTCAAGTTTGGTGTATCTGGGTAATGTTTCTGTAACTGCTGTCCCCTGCAGTAGCCCTGAGGAAAGAAGGTCCTCATTTTGTCACAGAGCCTGCTCACATCTGGATGATTTGGCCAAAACTCACAGAGAAATCAGAGAGCTTGTACAAAGCTGAGAAGGAAAGCTGTTTTCAGCTCTCCTCTGTAGCAGAGGAGAGACTTAGGCAAAGTCTCTAGACACTGTAGGTCTAGACTCTACCCTTTTCCCTCTGGAAGCTCTTCAATACAGAAACTCCATCTTCCCTTCTGGATTGTTCCCACTGTCTCACTCCTTTCCCCTCCACCCGGCAGAGGTCAATCTCCTTTCCTAAACTTCCAGGAAGGTAAATAACATACTCTGCACAGCCTCCCCTTCCTGCTGTCCAGCCAAACTGCCAAATGGAACCCCCTCCACCTGGCAGAGGTCAGTCTCCATTCCCAAACTTCCAGGAAAGTTAATAATATGACTCTGCACAGCCTCCCCTTCCTGCTGTCCAGCCAAACTGCCAAATGGAATGGGCTTGAGGTGCCAAGGAGTGGGACTATCCATCTTGCCTCAAATGAGTTGTCTTTTCCACAAAAGAAAACTCTCATGTTGCGGGGCATATAGTCATGGAGGACACTGATGTGCCATTGCATTGCATCCTTAAGGATTGATGAACATAAGGTGGGAGATAAGGAGCAGTACAGCATTACCTACCCCCAGTCACTCAGAGAGCAGAGGAAGATGTGATGGAGGAGACGTTAGGAGACCTGACCAGCAAGCTCCTGGCTTCTTCATTTAAAGTCTCCCAAACTGAGTTGCTACTGCTTTTCTACCCTACTCTGGTCCCAAACTCTGTTTCCATGGATGTCATGGTCAGTAATCTGCTCTTAAGTAGGATAAAACTTTCAACTTTGTACTAAATAAATCCTCTTGTCTCTACCTCTCCAGGGACACCTCCCAAAATAATCTCTTGCAGGATGGAACATGCAGTCAGTTTCTCTGTGGGAAGAAGCCCAACAAAGATATCCAAGAAACCCAACCAGAAGAAGACAAGTTGTGCCAAACTGAGAAGAAGCAGGTCACCCACCCAAGAGTGTCTGGATGGGAGACAAAAGGAAGGGCAAGTATCTGAGTATCACCAGCAGCTGCTGAGGAGGATGGATTTCAGGTCCCAGCAATGGTGAGAGTTTGAGAGGCACAGTTGGAAACAGTGAGATCTTTGAGCCCTGAGGTTTCCTCCTGGTGCCACAATGTCAGGTCAGAGCTGCATTTGCAGCAAATATTGGAGAATATTTGCAGCAAATATTGGAGACTCCACCAGCCAGGTGGATTTAAATTGAGTTTGGATGGGACTTCACCACCCTCACTCCCAAAGCTGGGTAAATGCCCAAGTTCTCCCTTCCTCTTGTAGGACTTCCTTTATCCACTGGATTAGTATTACAGATGGTGGGACACAGTTATCCAATTGATCTCAGCCATGGTCCCCCTTGTAGTGGTTTTGGTTCACCAATTTCAGATTTCCCCAATTTTGAGATTTTCCCGGCCAATGCACCAAAGAGTATGGTGGGCTTGGTGCTGATCAATTACCAGTGCACTCACTTCCTGCTGTGAGACAGGATTAGGAGAAAAGCAAAGCAGGCTCAAAACCTTAAAAGGGTATAAAGAAAATTTTATTAAAAGTAACTAAAAGAAAAAAGGTAGTAAGAATCAAAACAAGCCCTTCAGAACACTTTTCATCTCCCCACCTTTTCTTTCCCACTGACAATGTAAAGAAACAAAATCTAAAATTTCCAGTCAGTTTACCGTCTCTAAAATAATGTCTTTCTTCAGTTCACTTAGGGAAAGAAGTCCCTCTTGTTAATGTTATGGGGATTTTCCACAAGAGGAAAGAAAACAGTCCTCTCGTGGCTGTCAATTTCCTCACAAATAGCAGCCACCTGGGGAATCCTGCCATCATGAAGTCCTTCCCATTTCCACAAGCTTTCCCACAGCTTGTCGATGGGCCATGTCGACTTATGGGGTATTGTTTTAAAGATGAGCTGTTCAAAGGGAAAAGTTCTCATCACCTATCTTTAAAATCATCTTCATCCCTGAGAACAGAGATCTTTTTTTCCTGGGGCACCAGACTACTCTTATCTCTTTCTCTGTTCAAACTTCTCATGGGATCACAACTACTTTCACATCTGCTTACTTTAGCATGGAGGCCTTTGCTCAATATCCATTTGAACCCTTCATCTCCCCATAGTTTCATGCATTATAGGGGAAAAGAGCATTTTTCTCCATAGCTTACAAGAGGATTTCAGCCCCAAGACCAAGGCGTCTCCCCATCCCTCCCATCTGGGACTTGACTTCTTCTTCACTGACCTC